CAAACATTTTAGTTGGTACTGTTATCTAGTGGCACTACAACACAAATGTAAATATTTGAGTATGAAAGCAAAAGCTTTCGTGACGTAACACGTGGTTTACTTATGACGTCATAGATTAACCATGTTCAATGAGAGTCTTACATTGTCGCTTCGATTCGGATAACATGGAAAATGCCCCTACGTCAAACGCTCAAATGATTACGGTTAACTATTGGCGGCAATTTTATTTCTATAAAGGACGACGCGTATACAAAACGCAATAAATAACTTAATTATTTAATTACAAATAAATAAAATTAAACTATTGTTCTATAGTAAAAATGTAAATATATGCGTTGAACGGCAGGCATTTTTTTAAATTTTCATGCCAGTATGAAAATTAAGCTTCATGGTTAAAATGGATGTAATCGATTTGCGTTCATACCGACATGAAAATTAAAAAAAACCCACATTCAATCCCTATGCATACCTGACGTAACGTCAATGATATGTATACCTGACGTAACATCAGTGTTATGTATACCCCATCATATAAAGTCAATGTATTGTATACCTGACGTTACCTCAATGTTATGTATACCTGATCACGTAACGTCAATGTTATGTTTACCTGACATAACCTCAATGTTACGTATATCTGATCACGTAACGTCAATGTTATGAATACCTGACGTAACGTCAATGTCATCAATTGTAAACCGGACGTAACGACAATGTAATGTATACCTGACATAACCTCAATGTTATGTGTAACTGATCCCGTAACGTCAATGTTATGAATACCTTCCTTCACGTTTATGTAATGTATACCTGAAAAAACATCTATGTTATATATACATGATGTAACGTCAATGCTATGTATACCTGATAACGTAACGTCAATGCTATTTATACCTGACATAACGCCAGTGCTATTTATACCTGGCATAACATCAATGCTATGTATACCTGACGTAATATCAATGTTATGTATACCTGACGTAACGTCAATGTAATGTACAACTGAAGTAACGTCAATGTCATGTATACCTAACGTAACGCCAATGTCATGTAAACCTGACATAAAATATATGTTATATATACATGATGTAACGTCAATGCTATGTATACCTGATAACGTAACGTCAATGCAATTTATACCTGACGTAACACCAGTGCTATGCATACCTGACATAACATCAATGTTATGTATACCTGAGGTAATATCAATGTTATGTATACCTGATCACGTAACGTCAATGTAATGTACAACTGAAGTAACGTCAATGTCATGTATACCTAACGTAACGTCAATGTCAGATATACCTGACATACCGCCAGTGCTATATACATAGTGTATGCATGATGTCAATGTAATGTATACCTAATCACGTAACGTCAATGTTATGTATACCTGACGTAACGTCAATGTCATATATACCTGACGTAACGTCAATGTAATGTACAACTGAAGTAACGTCAATGTCATGTATACCTAACGTAACGTCAATGTCAGATATACCTGACATACCGCCAGTGCTATATACATAGTGTATGCATGATGTCAATGTAATGTATACCTAATCACGTAACGTCAATGTTATGTATACCTGACGTAACGTCAATGTCATATATACCTGACGTAACGTCAATGT